GACTTCTGCTCATGTCATGATCTCAGAGTCATAAAATAGAACCCCTCATGGGGCTTGGCACTGAGCACTGAGCCTGCCTAAGATTCTCTTTCTCCCTTTGTCTCTCCCCCTCCTCTCTCTCACGTGCACTTTCTCTCTCTCAAAAAAATCAATCAAAATACAAATATTGACATTGGGATCTGGATGATCCCCCTTTTTCTTTTTGTTTGTCAATAGTTTCTAAATTTTTATAGTAAAACCTCAATTTATGTAAATAAAGGCAAGATTTAATATAAAAGTAGTAACATCTGTGGTTAAGAGGATGTACTCTGGGATAACTAAGGGACAGGTGAATGACCTTAGTTAAATTGCTTAAATTTGGGACACCTGGGTGGCTCAGCAGTTGAGTGTCTGCCTTTGGCTCAGGGCATGATCCCAGGTCTGGGGATGGAGTCCCACATCAGGGTCCCTGGAAGGAGCCTGCTTCTCTCTCTGCCTATGTCTCTGCCTCTCTCTCTCATGAATAAATAAATAAATCTTTTTTTTTAATTGCTTAAATTTCTTTTTTTTTAAGATTTTATTTATTTATTCATGAGATACACATACACAGAGAGAGAGAGAGAGAGGCAAAGACATAGGCAGAAGGAGAAGCAGGCTCCATGCAGGGAGCCCAATGTGGGACTCAATCCTGAGACTCCAGGATCACGCCCTGAGCCAAAGGCAGATGCTCAACTGCGGAGCCACCCAGGCATCCCAAATTGCTTAAATTTCTTCACCTTGATTTTCTCATCTTGAAAATGTTGATAATAACAGTGCCTACGGGGTGCCTGGGTAGCTCTGTGGTTGAGCGTCTGCCTTTGGCTCAGGTTGTGATTCCGGGGCCCTGGGATCAAGTCCCGCATCAGGCTCCCCATGGGGAGCCTGCTTCCCTCTCTGCCTGGGTCTCTGCCTTTCTCTCTGTGTCTCTCATGAATAAACAAATAAAATCTTTTTAAAAATGTTAAAAAATAACAGTGCCTACTTCAGTCTGTTTTTGTGAAGATTAAATTGGATGACTGGTATACCCTACCGTGTGTACTTATTATACAATCAAGTAATTACGGAGCTCCTACTCCTATATTACAGCAGTACAAGCTACTTGGGGAAGTGCAAAGAAGTTTGAGATTGTCCCTGCTCTGCAGGCAGTTAAGTAGCCAAATAGATGTCACTAACTCAAATGAGAATACAACAAACAAGGGTTTCATAGTTCTATGACAGTAAGAGAATCCCAAGACACATACACATTTTAAAGGTACTGGCACTGAACGTCTATTAATCTAATTTGCTCCTCTAAAAAGGCTAATTTAAATAGGTGAATTTTATAGTATAAAATGTGAATTATATCTCATTTAATATATTTTAAAAGGTAATCATTTTAGTATGTGCTATTTACCTGAAATAAGCAGTGTTTTCTTTTTTTAAGAGAGACAGAGAGAGAGAGTCAGGGTGCATGGGGGTGCAGTGCAGAGGGAGAGGGAGGAGAATCTTAAGCAGACTCTACGCTCAGCACTGAGGTCCATGCAGAGCTCGATCTCACAACCCTGAAATCATCACCTGAAGTGAAATCAAGAGTTGGACACTGAATCCATCTGAACCACCCCCTGAAAGGAGTGGTCTTAAGAGTATTTTAATACAAAATACATTGATAACGTACAAAAGCTAACATTGCATAGGAAATTTTCTAAACTCGCTGATTTGAACCATATGAAGTTGAATCTGCTTCATAAAGTTATTGAATTGCTTGGAGACTCATTTTTAGTGTGTGATTAATAAAATGTTGCCCACATAGGATTTGCAAATATTAAATACTATGACTAAAGTAATGGAATTGTATTTTTTCCTGTAAACCAGTTGGGGAAACGGAGCTTTATTTGTTTGGAGAAAAAAAATGGAAGAAGTTCTTTCTTAATGTAGTATCAGTGATTTTCAAGGTCTAATTAAAATTCCACTTTCGCTAGAAAATTGCATCCTTGACAACTCTTGTCACCCATCATAACAATCTGCACTTCCGTTTACTGAATACTTACTGTGTTCCTGGGAATATGTTGTGTTTCACAGACCTGATAAAATGTAATTTTGACAACAGCATATGAGGTGAGTGTTACCAACTCCATTTAACCGACCACGAGACTTGCAAACAAGCGAGTTAAGCAATCTGACCAGGTCACATGGCTACTAATTTATCAGGTTAAGATTTGAAGCTAAAACTGTGGTTACAAAGCTTGTTGATACTGCACACATACAGATCCTTTCTTGTACCTTGCTCCATCTGTGAGTGCTACAAATGAGCAAAGAATGAGAGATAAGAATAATCAGTCTTTTCTCAGATTGTTCACAAATGAGGTGACAAGCCAAAACTATCCTCTGGCAGAAGATCCCAATTAGTTTTCTTTGGTAAAAATACCAGCATTCTGAGGGACAATCTTTCCAATTTATATAATGAATGGTATTAACTACTATGAGAAGATATACTTTTTTAAAAAAGATTTTTATTATTATTATTTTTAAATTATTTATTTATTTATGATAGTCACACAGAGAGAGAGAGAGGCAGAGACATAGGCAGAGGGAGAAGCAGGCTCCATGCACCGGGAGCCCGACGTGGGATTCGATCCCGGGTCTTCAGGATCATGCCCTGGGCCAAAGGCAGGCGCTAAACCGCTGCGCCACCCAGGGTTCCCGATTTTTTTTTTTTTTTTTTTTTTTTTTTTTTGAGAGAGAGCACAAGGGTGCAGGGAGCAAAGGGAGAGGGAGAAACAGACTCCACGCTGAGCACTGAACCTGATCCCAGGCTCCATTCCAGGATCCCGAGATCATGACCTGAGCCAAAATCAAGAGTGAAACACTTAACTGACTGAGCCACCCATGCACCCCAAGGTATACTTAATTCTGAGGGCTAAATAGAATATTGAGAAAAGAGTCAAACATTCAAGACTTAAATCATTGAGTTGTCACCTGGAAATGCTCTTTATTCATCGAGAATCACAGCTTTCATTGAGTCCAGATCCTATAATTTATATTTCATCCATTCACTTCTTCAGTAGTTATTTATTGAGCACCTATGTGCCAGATGCTCTTCTAGGCATTTGAGATATATCAGAGAACATAATGAACAAAATCCCTGCCCTTAAAGAAAAAAAGAAATAAAATGAAAAAATCAACAAAGAAAACCCCCAGCCTTAAGGAGTTTCTATTTCAGTGGGGACAGATAAAGAAACATCAGATGATGCTGAGTGATATGAATAGAAATAATGAAGGGTGAGGCCCCTGGGTGGCTCAGCGGTTGAGCATTTGTCTTTGGCTCAGGTCATGATCCCAGGGTCCTGGGGTCAAGTCGTGCCTTGGGTTCCCTGAATGGAGCCTGCTTCTCTCTCTGCCTATGTCTCTGCCTCTCTCTGTATGTCTCTCATGAATAAATAAATAAAATCTTTAAAAAGAAAGAATGAAGGGTAAAGAGTGGGACAGAGATGAGGGCTGGTATTTAAACAGAGGATCCAAAAAAGCCTCTTTTAAGGTGTTAGTATTTAAGAGGTTTGAATGAAATGAGAGACTTGGAGAGTGCATCACGTGGTTATCTGAGGGAAGAGCATCTAGGTGAACTGGGAGCATATGCAAAGGTATGTCCTAGAAAAGCAAAAAAGGCCAGTGGGGCTGGAAGGAGGAGGGAGAGTGGTGAACCAGTGTCAGTGAGGGACTGGGGCTTTTTATCTGAAGGAAGAGGACCAGTCAGGAGGCTGTTGTAATCCTTCAGGTGAGAAATGTTGAGGGTGATAGCAGAGGAAGGGGTGAAAAATGGGTAGGTATTGGATATATTTTGAAAGCAGAATGGAGAGGACTTATTGACAGATTAAAGTGTAGGGTGAGAGAGATTGGGTGTGAGGCGTGAGAAATCTTGGTGTTAGAATGCTAGTTAATTAACTTTTGAGGGCAAAGCCTTCCAAGTCCTCTTCAGGCCTGGTTCTTGTGTGTACAGACCATGTGACCTTGGAGGTTAAGTCAATAGGAATCACTAAAAATCTGATTACTAAGAATAGGAAGAAATGCATGGTGACCCTCCTGCCCCAGTTGAGTGTTATTTGGGAGAGGTTGCCAAGCTAAATAGTAGTTGTGGGAAAAAGAATAGATGCCCTTTCTTTCTTTCTTTCTTTCTTTCTTTCTTTCTTTCTTTCTTTCTTTCTTTCTTCTTCTTCTTCTTCTTCTTCTTCTTCTTCTTCTTCTTCTTCTTCTTCTTCTTCTTCTTCTTCTTCTAAGATTTTATTTATTCATTCATGAGAGACACCCACAGAGAGAGAGGCAGAGACACAGGCAGAGGGAGAAGCAGGCTCCATGCAGGGAGCCCAATGTGGGAGTCCATCCGGGGACTCCAGGATCTCACCCTGAGCCAAAGGCAGGTGCTCAGGCGTCCCATAGATGCCCTTTCTAATGAACTATTTTCAGTTTGTCAAGGGGGAGGACTGGATCTAAAGGTGCAAGAACAGACTTTGATGGGGTCTTCAGAAGTTTCAGGACTGAGAACATATTGCAGGACCCAGGCTTAGGTTTTTCCTGTTTTTCTCCCCCCCCCCCTTCATTTCCACACCCCCTCCTTGGCCCATCTTTCTAGCTACAGGAAGGTACAGTTTACTGTCGGTTCTCAAACTTCAGCAGGCATCAGCGTTACCTGGCGTGCCTGTGAAAACTCAGATTGCTGGGCCCCACTCCTGGAGTTTCTAATTGGGGTGCAGGGTGTGTGCGCGCAGGTGCGCACGTACGCGTGTGTAGACGGGTCACAGAGGGGGTGCGGGGGCTGCAATTTTTTTTTGCATTTCTAACAACTTCTAACAACCTCTTAGGCGGTTCTTGAGAACGGCTGTTTCTTATACCCGAGGGCGTGCAAAGCAACGGGGTCCTGAATTCCACCTGGTGGCTCGTCAGTGGGGAAGGTTCCAGCTCCCAAAGGTTGGCAGCCCCTAGGGGAATTGCCCACCTAGCCGGAGGTGTTCCTCGGCTGCCCGTGGCCGGCGGGGAGGAGCCGCAAAGGGCGGCACGGAGACGGCAGGAGCCGGTCTTTCCAGGCTGGACACCCCCCCCCCCCGCCCCCGAGCTCCCCAGGGGAGCGAGGGCGGGAAGACAGCCCCGGGCCTGCCCACAGATCCTCGGAGGGCGCGGGCCTGGAGGAGGCGCCCCAGAAGGCGGCGCCTCGCGGAGGAAGTTTCTCCTCTGACTGCAGAGCGGGGTGCGCCGTGGCCGCGACCTCGGGAGCTGTCGGCGCCGCCGGGGGGCACCGCCCGCACCGCCGCCATGGGCGGCTCGGCCTCCAGCCTGCTGGACGAGGGCAAGTGCACCTACATCCGAGGTACGCGCGGGGCTTCCCGCCCGGGCCCGCACCGCCGCGCCCACCCGGCCCCGGGGCGCGTCGCGCGGGCGCTTCCACCTGCGGCGGCCACCTGCGGGCGCGGGGACCGCGGGGGCCCCCTTCCTCCGCGGCCGCCGGGGCCCGGGCCGGGGATGCTCCGGGAGGTGCGGCCGCACGCCCGCGGGGGCAGGTGCAGGCGGCGGGGAGGGGGCGCGGGCCGCTCGGCTGCGCTGCGCTGCGCTGCGCCCCTCGGGGTCGCGGCAGGTGCGGGCCCGGCGTGGCCTCGCGCGCTCCCCTCGGTTCCGAGCTCTCTCTGGACTTGCCTCGAGGGGAGCCGCGGGGATATCCCTGGTTGCTGGAGACTTCCCGGGGGATTCCCGGCCCCTAAAGCAGAATTTCCCTGCCGGTAAGGTTGGCCTGGTTTTGCAAAAGGACGCGTCGGCCAGAGCTTCACTGGAACTTTCAGATGGCTTGTGGGGTGATTTCGTCAGAAGCAGAAAGGACCGTGTCGTGAGGCTCCCAGGTCGTACGGTTCCTTTTCCCTCCCCGGAGATGGGGGCAAGGCAAAAGAGGAACATTGGCGTATTCCGTTAACAGTTGCTAAAGTTATAGATGGAGACAAACTCATTTGGGGAGACTTCCAGAGATACGGTGACTCACTACAGGCAGGAAGAAAAAAAAAAAAAAAACCCAACAAACTGAATTGAAACTGCAGAAAATCATGACTCTATCTCCTGGGTGTACTTGGCCCTGGTCCCTTCCTCCCTGGCAACCTTGTCCGCAACCACTACCTAACATTGGGTTATCTTACGAATTTAGTGATTTTCTATCTTTAGCAATACCTTCTAAACTACGTATTGAGCTCTAAGTTTTAACCCCAATTCTGTAAAGAAGTGGTTAAGTTCATCCTGTTTAAGTTCTTCTCTTTCTGGCCCCTGAACCTTTCCTACAAGGAAAGCATTTATTTAGTGTCCTTATTCCATACTTGTTTTCAGTTTAAAACCATTTTAAACGGATATCAAATCAGGGCACTTGAGAGCAACGTAATTGACTTTCCAGATTCTTCCTCCTGCTCTGGTGCTTCTGGAGGTAGAGGACCATCAACAACCCATTGTCAGGGGATAAAACTTGGACAGGTATTCTTTTGCTGTCGTTTATTTAAAATGGGAGAAAGATGGATGACTTATTTATATTAGCAACACAGCTAAACTAAGGCCGCCTTGAGTCTTACAAATTTGGCTATGTGCTCGTTGTAAGGAACGGAAAAAACTGTAGTAGGACATAGTCAGAAGGGGTTTGCATTTAGTTATTTGCAAAGTATGGTTATGCCATTTATTTTAGAAGACTTTATTTCACCACGAAGCTTAAAAACACCTGACGTTGAATCGTGGCCATCTACAGTAATAATTGAAAGTCCAGCAATGTAAGGGATTCATGTTTTTGAAGACTTCATGGTCATGACAGTTGTTGCTGCTGCTGCAAGCACTGTATTCATGTGAAAAGAAAACATGTTAGCTTTTATTTTATTGCGAAATTAAATGATTGTACATACGAAAGTATGAGATGGCTAGTGCACAGGAAAGACTTGTAACAGATATGCTCTGAATGAATAAAACTATTGCAGATTGGATAACAGTCATTACATCCACAAGTCTTTTTTTTTTCTTTCTTTCTTTTTTTAAATTTTTATTTATTTATGATAGTCACACAGAGAGAGAGAGAGAGGCAGAGACACAGGCAGAGGGAGAAGCAGGCTCCATGCACCGGGAGCCTGACGTGGGATTCGATCCCGGGTCTCCAGGATCGTGCCCTGGGCCAAAGGCAGGCGCTAAACCGCTGCGCCACCCAGGGATCCCCACATCCACAAGTCTTGTTCAATTTTTATCTTATTCTTTGGGAGGGCACTTTCAAGGTATGTAGAGGCAGAGGGAAGAGAAGAGTTAAAGTTAGAATACCTCCAGAGAAACTGAGACGTTGCCTCATTTGAGAATACTAGTCTTGCCAAAAGAGAAAAGAGCATTGGAAAAATGCATGGCGTTCTGAATTGTTACTGCATGAGCACATGAAGGTCATGGGGCTGTGATTTCCTGATGGTTTTGAAGCCCCAGATCCCTGAAAAAAAAAAAATCATCCTGTCTTCTCCACTTTGCCCATCATTTAGCCCATGCATCTTCTCAAGTTCTGATCTAATTGTAAACAGAACAATTGAAAATATGACAGTAAAGTTTAGATACAATTTTATGACCTGTTTCTCATAAAGTGGCTGCCAGTAAACTGTTAGAGATTTGAAAGCTCCTAGAGCTGATTCAAGAACTTTCCTTCAAGCTTGATAAACTTTGCTAACATATGGAGAATAACTAGTCAGTATATTTGGAGTGAGTTTTGTTGGCTTAATCTTGTATGTGTTAAAGCAGCTGTACTTCTGGCATGCTAATGAGTCTGAATCAGCTTATACTTTTAGACAAATCATTTAACAGCTGATGTTTAGTTTGTGTGCATCAAAACTTGTATTAATAGTGATGTTCGTCACATGGCTGTTTCAAAAATACATTATTTTTTAGGATTTAGTAAATTTCCGGGTAAAAGGATATCAGAAGTATTAAGGAATTACTTCGTTTCTAAAGATGCTTTGAAAATTACTCCCACACTCCTGTTTCTTACCACAGAATAAATTTTTAGTATTGCTTCTAGAAAATTTCAGTGACTTCACTTCATCAAGATGTTTCAACGCATAAATAATAGTAAGACCTCCTTCTAATCAAATGAACAGTGTCATCTGTTAACCTTCAGTGATGTTTTTAGCACTGACTTAAAAGGGTCTTTTTTTTAATGAGAAGGAAAGCTCAAATAATCCAGTCATTGGTGACCAATTTAGGGTACTTTTCTCTTTATGCCATGTTTTCTTTTACTTTCTAAACTTCGCTATGCAAACAGGTCAACTCTAGCTTTAAAACATACCATGTCTTCCTGTTTGAGCAAGAATTGTCTTTCCTTTTTAAAATTGCCATTGCGGGGGATCCCTGGGTGGCTCAGTGGTTTCGCGCCTGCCTTTGGCCTAGGGCGTCATCCTGGAGTCCCGGGATTGAGTCCCGCGTCAGGCTCCCGGCATGGAGCCTGCTTCTCCCTCTGCCTGTGTCTCTGCCTCTCTCTCTCTCTCTCTCTCTCTCTCTATGTCTATCATAAATAAATAAAGATAAATCTTTAAAATTGCCATTGGGTTGTTCATAATGAATCAAAAGAAAAATGAACCTGAAAACCGCCCTACAGAAGTCCTGTGGAATGTCAGAAAAGTACTGGGAAATCAGAGCTACAACTGAGAATGGTGGCATTCACAGGTCTGGTCGGGGCTGGTGGACTCCTCTAGGCCCAGGAACAGCAAGTAGCAGGAAAACAGTCTTTTTCTAGATTTATTATTGCATACTTTTGTCAGACTTTTCCTGTGAGGGCCTGGTGGCTTCCAATGAAATGCTCGTCAGTGATCTGATGATTATAAAGTAGGAAAGGAGTTTCAGCTTAAAAACAATATGGGACGCCTGGGTGGCTCAGTGGTTGAGTGCCTGTCTTTACGCCCAGGGCATGATCCTGGAGTCCAGGGATCGAGTCCCGTATTGAGCTCCCTGCATGGAACCTGCTTCTCTCTCTGCCTAGGTCTCTTGTGAATAAATAAATAAAATCTTAAAAAAAAAAAAAAAAAAAAGTGTTGGGATGCCTGGGTGGCTCAGCGGTTGAGCATCTGCCTTTGGCTCAGGGTGTGATCCCCAGTCTGGAGATCGAGTCTCACATCGGGGTCCCTGCTTGCTTGCTTCTCCCTCTATGTCTCTGCCTCTCTCTTGTCTCATGAATAAATAAATATAGTCTTTAAAAAAAACCCAACATGTATTTCTCTTAGGGAGATTTTCTCATATTTATACTGTAAGGGTTAACTTAGGTGGCTTTCTATGAAATTTATGCTGATAACAGTATCTGGAGTGACACATCTCTATGGACAAGGTGAATGGAAGATAGTTATTGACTGCAAACTGTACATTTGCAGTCCACTTAATCTAGATGTATATTATTACACATGTTGGTTTATTCTTTAGTCAGAATTTGTAGGTAGGGGATGGGCATAAGAATTGATCTGATTTATAAGGATTTATAAAGATAATTATGATGAAGTAATCTGAGAGTACAATTTCTCTGGCTAGAAATGACAGTTTATTGTAATGGGAAGTTAGGATATGAAGTGTGGTAGGCACAGTTGGGTGTCAACTCAACTTCCTTTCCCCATTCAAACAGAACCCCAATTTTATTTCAGTATTGAACATACTCTGTGTAAGTCCTATGATTCAGAGAAGCTCACCCCATGTATGGCCTTTGAGGGGTGTCTGCTGATTGGTCTATGCTTATCATGGTGGTGTGTTCTCCTGCTGACGATTATACAAGGCATGGGGGTTGTGATTTAGTCTGGCCAGTGAGGCTTGAAGAGAAGTTTGCTAACTGCTCCTAAGAAAGTTTTCTTCCCTTTTTAAAGAAAAGAGACAAAGGGTAGAGACATATTCTTCTTCCCCTTCTTCTTTTGGATTTTGTGGCATCTGAATGTGATGCCTGGAACTACTGAGTAAGGAGGCAGCTAGCTCAAAGACATAGCCAACTTTGGAGTACTGCTTGGCCAACGTCAGAGAAGAGAAGCTGGAGCCCTGGCACATCTTGCTGATCACCTGCCTATCCTACCTGGGGTACTCATGTTGTGTAATATACTAAGTCCTCTTTCAGTTGGGGTGGTAGAGAGTGCTAGTTACCCGTTACCCCTCAATATCATTCTTCCCTGCTTTTTAAAAAGTTTTGTTCTTTGTTTTTTTTGTTTTGTTTTTGTTTTTGTTTTTTAGAGAGAGTATATGTGTGAGTTGGGGGAGGACAGACAGAGGGGCAGAGAGAGAATATTAGGCAGGTTCCATGCCCAGTATGGAGCCTGATGTAAGGCTTGATCGCACGACCCTGAGATCTCATTACCTGAGCTA